GTTTCATATAATCATTTCTTTTTTACTTTATTCACAGGAGAGACATATAGAATTCATAGGCAAATAGAAAAATTGCTATTAGATATAATTTTACTAAGTATATATTTATTAGGAAAGTTAGTTAATTATATGATAAAAATATTTACACAACCATCAATAGATCCATTCAATAGGGTTCATCTCTATAATTGAAATCTATATCATTCAAATCTATATCATTCAAATCTATAATTGAAAGTTATGACTTAACTTCAACATATTTTTCTGCGATATTTCCGCAATTGTTTCTTAGAAGGCAGCAACGCGCCATGTACCAGCTACTGAAAAACAAAAAATAGACACTTAAATAATATTAATAAAACTTCAAAAGATTTATATTCCCTCTATTTTTATTCGAAACTTTGGTGACATGGCTGACATTTTCTCTCTAAGATTTCTAAGATATATATATATATATATATATATATATATATATATATATATATATATATATATATATGTTCTCTCACAAATTATTTATTTTCTTGAAAAGGGCTTTATTAAACGGCATTTGCTGGTGATTTATATAAATGTCTTGAAACTGCAAGTTGTAAGTATTTACGCACAGCTGCAACAAACTCTTCCTTCGAGTAGCGATTATTGAGTTCAAAAGTAAACAAAAAAAAAGTAACAAGTACGACTATGAAACCTATGCATTGAGAACGGACATTTAAACAGATTTTTATATGTACTAATATCTATATGAGGATAGATAGAGGATATAATATGTTATATGAGGATAAAACTGGTGATACTAGTGAATTCTTCAGCGATTATGTGCGTATATTTAGCGAATTGAATTCATACATAAAATGTTTAAATGAAAGTGAGTAGATCATGGATACAAAAGGAGGTTTAGAAAATATCACTTTTTACACATAGATAGAAGAGAGCTTCGTTCGTGGTCTCATAGATTGCCTTTCCTTATTAGAGCAAGTTAACAACTGGATGCCACGAAAATTAGCTATAAAACGCGCCCAACTTCTAGCAATACCCAGAGATAACGCTTTATCACCACAACTCTTTCTTTATTCGCACATGCAACGTTTTCAACAATCTCTCATTAGGTAACAGCTACTTGAAATTATTTAGAACTAAACCTTAAAATATTTTGTGCCGTGTAGTGGTGGTTAAGAATATCCAACACGCCATATCTTCCCATGGGTATCGTAAGAGGCAACAGAATGAAACAGGCAGGAGATGGGAACCAGCATATTCCCCCGCACGCCAAGCGTCGCAACTATGGGAACACACCCCCCAGATTAGAGTTAAGAAGAGATGGCTCCCAGTCCCCAGCAGCTGCGCATTCCTTGGCTACGGTGGCGACCATTGTAACGGCGGGGCAGGGGGTGCTACGAATCTCCGCTGCAGGTTTGGTTGCCGCCCAAGACGATTTGACCTGGCAACATACAACGCATGCACTCTGAGGACTGACGAGAAGTTCCTGGAGCTGAAAGAAGAGATAAACAAGTTGCGCTGGAATATTATAGGATTATTCGAAGTCCGAAGACAGGAGGAGGACATGGTAATAGAAATAGAAATAGAAATAGAAACTTTTTTATTCAATGTAGATTATAAAAATACTTATTGAAAGTCACTTTTTTAATTTACCACTGGTTCGCAAAAAAACCTCTGTCCTGGGAAGAACCAGCAAGAAACCCAGCGGGACTATTTTTTTTAATAATAGCTTACAATCATGTTTACAATCAACAACACAAGACAAATTAGAAATAGCTTGGTAGCGATCACCCTTCTCAGGGGTTATTATCATCTATAAATTCCTATATTATAATAACCCTTTTTGTACAAACTTAGTTTAATAACATTTTTGAACTTTGTGTATGACAAATTTTGTATATTTTCTGGGATTTTGTTGTAAAAGCGTATACATCGCCCCAAGAATGAATTACTGACTCGGTGGAGTCGAGTAACTGGTACTACCAGCTTGTGTATGCTCCTAGTATTTACAGAATGACTATCACATATTTTCGCAAAACTACTTTTATTTTTGTGTACGTACATTACATTTTTATAAATGTATTGAGAGGCCAGAGTTAATATATTAATTTCCTTAAATTTTTGTCTCAGTGACTCTTTTGGTTTTAAATTATATATTGCTCTAATGGCCCTCTTCTGTAAAATAAATATAATTTCAGTGTCAGTCGCGTGTCCCCATAGCAAAATACCATACGACATAATGCTATGGAAATAACTGAAGTAAACTATTCTAGCTGTTTCAACACTGGTAAGAGTTCTAATCTTTTTTTACAGCATATGCTGCAGAACTAAGTCTGCTAGCTAGTTTTGATATATGGGGGAGCCATTGAAGCTTTGAGTCCAGTGTGATTCCAAGAAAAATGGTGGTATCAACAAGACTCAGTTCCTCCCCATTTAAAATTACATTAGTATTGACAAGTTTAACATTAGGAGTTACGAATTTCATACATTTAGTTTTAGTTCCATTCAAATGCAATAAAAACCAAAACTTAGCTATAGCATTATTTACTTCGTCGTAATTTAATAACTGTCGTTTTAATTTGAAAATTAATGAAGTATCATCAGCAAATAATCGATCGTCTTCATCTTCTTATTCTCTTTTCTTATTATCTTCGAATTCAGCAACGTGATAAATAAGTATGTCAACAAGGGTTGCGTACTTTATAATCAGAATTACCAAACGGTATTCGCTGAAGGTTGTATAGGTTTACGTACCAACCTCAGCACACCCTGAAGAAGAGGTGGAGTAAATGTATGATGATATATGTATCTAAAGCCATCCGTTCTTTAAAAACCCATTATACAGTGTTAATGAGAGACTTCGACGCAAAACTAGGAACAAGAGAGAACGTTGAGCTGCAGTAAGGGATAGGGATAGGATATTGAAGATAAAGCAACGAAACCAAGAGGCCAGCAGGCCGACTTCATAGAGAGAGGATTTCTTTATGACGAACTCTTTTTTCCAGAAGCGGCCCCACAGAAAGTAGACCTAGTCAAACACTGGCGGTTCGAAAGTGAGATTGATTTCATTATGATGACTAGACGGCAACTGTTTAGTGACATTTCAGTCATCGCGAGGGTGAAAACTGTCAGCGATTACCAAAGTTTTAGAGACACGCTGAACCTAAATGTTAAGTTGCAAAGATCTAGTCTAATAAAGTTAACGCTTCGTCCCCTCGTGCTCCACTCCAAAGTCCTGAAACATTTCAACTCAAGTTACAAAACCGTTTTCAGTGCCCAGGACATGCAAGTTCGTGCATAGTTACAATGTAAGCTCTTGGAAACTGTCCATGCATTCGGAGCTAAGTTCTGCAAGATTTACCGCAGAAGAACACCAAAACTCTCAGATCGCGTTTTTAATCCCATGACTGTTAGACAAGAAATGAAACTGAAGTCTTCAGCAGATTTGACAGCATACAGGCACTTTAACAGAATCTCCAAATGCATGCGGCGGGACTTACGCAACTGTAATACTACTCGTATTGAAGAAAATCGAGCGAAACCAGGGCTCCGAAGTCTTTGCCAGAGATTTGTCTAACAGAAAGAGCCGACTGTCAAAACTGAATACCGAGTATGGCAGCATCTTTTCCGGGACATCTAAAATTTGTGTGAGATTAAGAAGGTCTATGGGCAGCTGCACAAATTATTTTGTTTTTTTTTGTTTTTTAATAGAAGAGGGGGCAAACGAGCATACGGTTCACCTGATATTGAGTAACTACCACAGCACATGAGCAACCGCAACGCCAGGGGAATAGCAGCTGTGTTGCTGGCCCTTTAGAAAGGATCGTCGAGGCAATTATTATTAATGGAAAGCCAACTGGAGAATATGCGCTTATTCCACGCATTCCCATCATTTCCACTGTCATGCCTTTCGATTTGAAAAGACTTCTTCTTTCTTTCGAGCTTGATCCTCAATGACCCTTAACCAAATGCAAGGAAAATCACTCCAAGTTTGTGAATTGAATCTAGAAAATCCATGTCTTTCATATTGCCAGTTGTTTGTTGCATGCCTACGAGTCCGACAGCCAAGCTTTTGCTGAATATGGAAAATCAAAAAATATTGTCTACCTTAAAACTAAAAAAAGTAAAAAATTTTAAGAACGCACATCACGACAAAACTCACGTCACTTAGTGTAATTTATGTGCTGACTCTATCTTTTCTTCTTCCATTACTTATACTTCTTTTCTTTTCCTTATACTTTCTTTTAAAATATTGGTGTGGATATTAAAGGACATTTGTTATATCAAAACTATGCACAATATGTGTAGTTTACGAACTGTCAATAAATCTTCATACAGATACAATGCATTTATTGAGAACTGACGTATTTTAAAATAGATGATTTTTAAGTCTCTGGTCCACTGAGACCACAAGGTACTTTGTAGAATTCAGTCTAGTTATAGTGCGGCAGTTGCAATTAGTTCTATATGGCAGCTGATAGCTGTGAATTTTAATATATCTGGGAAAGTCAGTTAAAATTTTTATGGAGAAAAAAAATAATTTGCTTTGCTGGTATTTAACGTTAGTAAGTTCAGATATAGCCATTGGGAAATCGAAACCAAACCGTGCTCTGTATTGATCTTCAAATTATTCAAGGAGTCACCTCTAAACACAATGGCAGTATTGCCAGCATATGCTTGCATGTGGGACGTTCATGTTGCAGAGTTCGTTTATGTAAATTAGAAATAAGGTGGGTTCCAAAATGCTTCCTGCGTAAGTAGCACTGGTTCCTTAAGTAGCACTGGTTTCTGACTTACTTGTGAACCTATTTTAACTAACTAACTACCACTATGTGTGATGTAACTATCGTCCTCATAGGGCCAGCAGTGAAGGACCACGCCTCAGTTCCATGGTCATCACTGGCAACACGCACTAGTTGTATAGTCCCGTATACATATACCTCCCCAATTTGGTGCTGTTGAGACTATGTAAGTTTTTCATTTTGCAAAAAAATAGTCTGGGATTATTCGGGATTACGCTTCAGCACCTTATAGAGACCGTGAAGCTCCTTCTCTGCGCCCTTGAACGTGGTGGCGTTATCACTGAGAAGCTCCGTACACTTACCTCGTCTAAATCTATTAGGCGCCTGCACCGACCAGAAGCGACTCCTCACGATGCTCAGCGTCATCTGTAGTCCAGCGTGCAGCAGCCGCAGGTGCTCGTACCTGAGAATGAAATCTGTTACATGATGACGAGCTGGTAATAACATGGGAGACTTCCTATGAGAAGGCAAATCAGATTGACTAATGAGGCCTCCTACATGCAGAATACCGTTATCTGAAAATATATTAAGATATTTTAAATGTTGGTTTGTGAAGTTTTTGTGCCCGCTAAAATCAGAATTAGATATTAAGTGCTTAAACTCGTTAGGGAAGTGCGAGCGATGTCGAAGACACTATGACACGGACGGTAGCCTCGCGCTCTGTGACGGTAATATTTCCTGTAAACATATTTTCACTTTTAACTTTCCTTTTCAGGTTATCTATAAAACGTGCACGTTGTTCGTGTGTATAACACGCGAAAAGACCTTCATTAATTTTGACCAGGACAAGGATCTCTCGAATACGGTTTTGCAATATGATTTTTCGACCGTGTGAGAAACGATGACTACTCTTTGTTGCTCTTGGATGGGGCTGACAATATCTCTACTTTTGCTGGGTGCCGCGAGCATGTGCGCAGCACCAATCTAGGCCAGCTAGCCGGGCCCACGGAACCATAACTCGCTAGCGGCTAGCGCTAGTAGATCGAAGCCTCTGGAGACCAAGTCAGAGGGGTTATCCTTGGTACCCACGTGATGCCAGTTTTCCATAGCAGTCAGTTCCTGTATTAAACTAACACAATTAGTCACACACAGGTTCCACCTATTTGGATCTCAACGAACCCAACATAAATTTATCATGGAGTCTGTCCAATAGTGGATACTGGCTATGTCATTGTAAGGCTTTGCGAACGGAGTCCATATGCTGAGCTAGCAACAAGGCGGAGCAGAGCTCCAACCTAGTTAACGTCATGGGCTTAATGGGGGCTACTCGGGACTTTGAACATATTAAGTGGGCTGTATTCTTAAGTGCGCAGCTCCTCGCATAGACTGTGCAACCGAATCCTTTAGTTGAGCGGTCGGTGAAGCCATGAAGCTCCAGCTGGTTACGTTTAGGATCTACCATCAATCAGGGGATAGATATATTGCTGAGGTGGTGCAGCTTCTTGCAAAAATCTTTCCAGGACGTGAGTATTTTGTATGGAACATCATCATCCCAACAAATGTTTTCACGCATAATCGCTTACATAATTAATTTAGCTGTCACAGGTCATAGGACTTATGAATCCCATGGGAACATATATTTTGGCAATACTTGCACTTTGTGTTTTTAGTGTTGTCCAAATTTTGAGGACTCATTACCTGAAACATATTATTCGCAGGATCCCACAAGATCCCCAGTGTTTTAGGGGCAGAATCGTCATCGCCGAAGAGCTTTTGATTACAGGTTTGTGTCTTTTCCTCTGGAATATGATTTAGCAATGTGATTGAATAAGAATAAAGCTTATGCAGTTCGAAACAACCAAAAAAAAAGTTTCCCCAAAGAGGTCACTGAACCGTAGCTAGTAGAGGGAGGTGACTTTGTCTACGAAAGGCTCATGTAGAGCCTTGTAGAACCACATGGGGAGCTATTCTCTTTCCATACCACCTCGGAGAATCTGCACTGCTAGAACTTGGCATTGCTTGTCAGCTAAAGAAGAGGAGTTAGCACTTTGCCACATATAATGACGTCTTTGTAAAATGACTCATCCGATTTTAGCAATAAGTTTACTATTATCATTATTATTTGAAAATTAGTCTCAGGCAAAAACTAATTTGAAGCGCACAGTTTTAAACATCACGGCACTTTTATTACCGGCCAGTAACGGAAAGTACATTTGTAAAGTTCAAATGATTAAAACATTTAACGCATTATGTTTTTTACAGGCGGGGAAATATCAAAACTGCTAGGTTCTTTTGTAAATGAGTGTATATAGATAAGTTCATATAAAACATCTCGTAAGTTGAATTACACTTTTTACCTGATGACCGATTTAAAGTCAAGTCACAAATTTTTTGAAAAATGTTCATCCATACATCGGCCTATACCACGGTCGATCCTATCGGAAAAACCTACTAATCAGCGATATGCGGATTTATGCTTTTCTTTTAAGACCTTGTTTTTGTCAAATATCATGATTCTCTAAGTCAACAGGAATTAGACTGAAGGTTTTGATGGTTTAATTTGCGAGTATTAAATACTTACATTATTTCTAAATGTCCTTTAAATAAGTTAATATAAAAGCTTGAAATGTATACTACTCCAAAAGACCGCAGACATTAGTATTTGAAATTAATTTCGATATTATATAACCATAAATATATTTTACGTCTTATTTCTCTTTATTTTTGAGAAGGAGGCTCATAAAAATAAAGATATTTATACGGGGAATGATGGATGTTTTGACGCTATAAAATTTAATTTCATAACTCCGTGGTTCGTTAGCTTTAGGAGCATCTGTTGATCCCAAACACTAAGCGTAAGTAACAATATCTGCTGTTGAACCATAGCAATTGTTGGAGCCCAATTAACGTAAAATGAAGTAACAATGGGCCAATGAGTGGGAAGCGAAGTGTAGGACAGCACTCTGATATGTAAGAAATGCAGAAAGTAGATAGATGCAGGTGGCTCAGAACCGTGTCATTCCATGAGAAAGGCCTTAGTACGGCGGTGGACTTGTTTAGGACTTCAAAGATAATAATATACTTATTTATAATACAGTGATCCTTTATATTTATTTCTTTTTGAATTAATGTAACGATATAATGCACAATATATTATAGGTATATATTACACCTATATATTAATTATTTCAGATCCCATGAACACATTGAAAGGCCTTGGAAAGGAAGCAATACTAAATGGAGGCATGACAGGTTTATGGTTGGGCCGTGAATTTTATACAGGTTAGTTTCGTTTGATTAACACATAATAATCGAGAAGAAAATAACTCACGAGTATCAATCGACTAAGTAAAGGCTATATATAATTGGTGTTTAGGTGAAAAAGTTATGGCTGAAAGCTTGAGTGCGTGTGCACCTACGTTTACCCGGCTACAGCTAGAGCAGTCAAAGTACGCCTGGTTACACTTATGTGTGTTCGTATTCATTTATTTTCTTAGCTTGTATAGCAAGACGCCATGCCAGCCTTTGTTCTGTGAACACACGGGTGTTAAAGGTTCAATAAATAATTTTTAATAGAATAAGGGTTACAAACGAGCATAAAGTCCACAAGATGGTAATTGGATGCCGTGGCTTAAAGATATCTACATTTATCCTCTATTAGGATTCAAAATGCAGATACGTCGTCACCTCTGGGGACTAAGATGAAATGCCTCGTTTCCAGTAAAAAATCCATGGTAAGTAAACTTGGACTCACTAACCGGTATGTTATAGGCATATCGTCTTATTGCCGATGGTAAGCGGGTGTTGGCGCGACTTCTAACGCCGCCTAGCGACGCACCGGAACACCAAACTTTTAGCTACGAATCAGAGCTCGTCATTGTTAGCAACCAATCACAGCACGTCGTGCAATTAGTTATAAGATCTGTCTGTATTAAATTTTGATTATTACCTGATACACACTGTTAGCAATAAGACGACTTAAATATAACCAACAAACGTTCAATAAATCAATTCATTGAAGCCTCCCGTTCCTGTACATAAAGTGGTCCTATCGAGCCGAATAAGGAGTTCAAGCTTGGAATCTCCGAAGATTCGTCGCATCAAAATACGAAGAGGAGATTCACGTATCGAGCGAAGAGCTGCAACGTTAAGGCATCGACAGACAGGAGTGGCAGGTTTGAACTTCCCGTCCGTTTCCCCATCTCATCCTTCGATAGGTGTTGATTTCGTGCTGATATTCCATTTCCAGTGCTCAAGTGGCGGTACCTACCTGCGCAACGGCACCCACCTTGGTTCGCACGCATATACAAATTGGCAACTGTAAGTACTCTTGATTTCCTTAAATCCCAAAATGAGTGAGCCCAAATTGTCAGATTTAATTAAGAAAAGAGGAGTTTTAAAAGGTCGATTAACTCTGTTTGAAAATTATGTTAAAAAGTTCACTTTACCCTTGACTGAACAACAGTCATTAGAATTAAATTTACGTGTCGAGAGTACTTCGAGTTTGATAGAGATGTATAGTGAAATACAGACTAAAATTGAAGAAGAGGTAGCGGAAGATCTCGATCTTGTAAAACAGCTGGAAGAGAGAGATCGTTTCGAAAATCAATTTTATTGTGCTGTAGCTTCTGCAAAACTTTTATTGAGAAAGGAAGTAGCTGACAAGTCTAGTGTTTCAACATGTAAGCCGATAGGCATAAAGTTACCCGATATTAAAATACCTTCCTTTGACGGTTCATACGATTGCTGGCTAGAGTTTAAAAATTCTTACGTTAGTATGATTCATGATCGCGATGATTTAGGTCCTGTTCAAAAATTTCATTATTTAAAATCGTCATTGTCCGGTACCGCGGCACACGTCATAGGTGCATTAGAATTTACGGCTAACAACTATTCTCACGCATGGGAGCTATTAGAGAATAGATTTAATAATCCGCGACTATTGGTTCATAATCATGTGAAGGCATTATTTAAAATTCCATCGTTAAATAAAGAGTCCGCTTCCCAGATTAGGAACTTAATAGATATTGTTTTGAGAAATTTGCGTGCCCTTAAAACGTTAGGTGAACCAACAGATTCATGGGACACTTTAATCATTTACATGGTCGTTTCCAAATTAGATCAGGCTATTGAACGCGAATGGGAAGATTTTCAAGGTACAGCTAGTTCGTTAATTGAATCGAGGTCAGCTTTGAAACTGGATGACTTACTTAAATTTCTTAAGGACCGCGCCGACGTTTTAGAAATGATAAAAGTCAACCATAACAAATCCCACGAGAACAAAGGCGGCGAACAAACGCGCTCTAAGAAACAATATACACATACTCATGTTGCTACGAACGTTACTAACAATAACAATAAGGGTAATACGAAACTAAAACAAAGCCGCGTGTGTGTGATGTGTCATGGTAATCACGCGATTTATTCCTGTTCAAGGTTTCTTAATTCGTCTATCCAAGAAAGGAATAAGATGGTTAAAACGCATCAGCTGTGCATCAATTGTTTACGCGCAACCCACCCACTTGACGAATGCAAGTTTGGGCCATGTAGGTTGTGTGATAAAAGGCACAACAGTTTGCTTCACATTGATGGGCAGGTAGACGGCGCATCACAGGTGAGCGGGTCGAGTGCATCAGCACAGCCGGTCACCGCTAACGTCTCCACTGTCTCGTCATCATTACACGTTACGGCTAACCATTCAGAATCGCAAAACAGTAATCAGGAATATTCGTTATTACCCAACGTTTTGCTGTCCACAGCGTTAGTGGACATAGCAGATTATAATAACAAATATCACACTGTACGCATTCTGCTAGATAATGGTAGTCAACATTGTTTCATAAAGAAATCGTTATGTGAAACATTAAATGCACCGTTAATACAGTCCACTTATCACGTTGCTGGGGTAGGTCAAATAATTTCGCAGTCCACCCACATTTGTAAAATAAAATTACGTTCAAGGTTAAATTCGTTTTATATGAACATTGATTGTTTAGTGTTGCCGTGCATTACAAATCAATTACCCACATTTAGTGTCGATGTAAATAATATGAGTTTACCTGATAATATTCAACTTGCGGATCCGAACTTTCACTCACCGTCAGACA